CTTCATACCAGAGCGCGCGTACGGATCGCCTCTGCCGCGCTGCGACGAACCAAAAAAATGCCTGGGAGGTCAGGGGGTCCTCGGAACCCTTTGCAAGAGAGGTCCTCGAAATCTTCGGGATCCGCACCCGAGCCAGCGAGGGAGACGGCCCGATCGAAGCAGCCCTCGTCGACTCCCTGCTGCCCCCCCTCCCCCTCATCCAAGCCCAGCCTCTCCTACAATCAACCCGTATGAAATGAAGGCGCCCTGGGGCACACAAATATTAACACAAATCACAGGATTCCCTCTATTTCCCTCTATTTTCTGGGCTTGTGTCTTCCCCCCCCCCTCCCATCCATGGTTTACCATAACCCCAGGAAGCATTTAAGAACCCCCCCAGCGATATCGTAGCACCACATTTTTTATTCGATATTCCGAAGAGCCGAAATAACCGAACGATAGCTGTAGCACCCGGACACGATGATGATGATAATGATGATGATGATGCTGATGATGATGCTGATGATGATGATGATGATGATGATGATGATGATGATGATGATGATGATGATGCGGATATGCTTCCTGGGGTTATTTCCTGGGGTTATTTCCCTGGGGTCGACGATAAGTTGTGTCAATGTGTCTTGTCCCTCCTGATCACAAAGGACGCGCGACAAGGCCGCAAGGGCCCTCGGAAGAAGGCCATTGCCGACGCTCTGCGGGCGGGCCTCGGCCGGCGAGCGCGGCCAAGGCGGGGCCCGGAGTGGCGGCGGCGAGGCTGCAAGGGCACCCGTGGAAAAGCGCTCTGTGGGGGAAAAAAGCGCACACAGTGGGAAAACAGCACAGAAAACACACAAAACACACACACACACACACACAACACACACACACAAAATAACACACACGGTGGGAAAACACACACACACAAACAAAAAAAAAAAAACACACGCACACACACACACACACACGCACACACACACACACACACACACACACACGCACACACACACACACACACACACACACACACTGTGGGGGGGGGGGGGGGAAAACAGTGGGAAAAACACACACACACACACCAACGCAGGGGGGGGGGGCCTCCGCAGGGGGAAGACGATCCTAGATGTCGGTGTTGGTGGTAATAGTTTGGCCACCTCGGAAGCCAGAATATTACCACCATCACCGAGATCGGGATCGTCTTCCCTTGGTGGAGGCACACCGCCGATCTTGGTGTTGGTGTCAACCTCTGGGCCTGCGAAAGGGCACCCTTGGAAAAACGCTCATCCTCACTATGCGGGTTGACTTCCCTTGAGACGAAGCCAGGACAAAGATACATCCGGGTGAAGATACATCGGGAATCTCTGAGACCTGGCGGCTCTAGTGGATGTCTCGGGCGCCGCGGCCTTCCCAGAGCGTTGCAGAGCGTTCCGGAACGCCCTGGAACGGATTTGATCCTCGTCCAAGCCCTGCCTCTCCTACAGCCAGACCAGAAACAAAAGAACATCCTTCAAGAACATGAGACCCTCCGCCGGCCCAAACACCCCAAGCCATAGGATCCCCGAGGGTACCCTTCCCCAGGATATGCGACAAGCCCGATGAACACTGGGGTACCCTCCCCAAGCCGACCTCGATCTTCTACTTCGGTCCGACCGTACTGCGTCCCTCCTGCCGACGAGTATATCCTCCCTGTCGCGCAACCAGACGTGTCGTCAGGGCGGACTGGGCGTTTCGTCTGAGACGTTCGCACCGCGACCAGTCTGGGGGGAGGAGGGAGGAGGGAGGAGGGAGGAGGGAGGAGGGAGGAGGGAGGAGGAGGGAGGGAGGAGGGAGGAGGGAGGAGGGAGGAGGCAGGAGGGAGGAGGGAGGAGGGAGGAGGGAGGAGAATGGAGGGCGGGTCGCTTTCCCAAAACGGGACTCTCGCCTCGGCGCCGCACACACACACCCGACTTACCACAAACAACCCTTGGCGGTAGAATCTGCTGAGCAACGCTTTCGAATACCAGCGCGCGCACCAAGAGAGAGTACAGGGCAGTTCTTAATACATAGTTTTTAACAAAAAAGGAGGAAGCATCACAAACAAACTGATTCTTAATACATGATTAAGTTAGGAATAAAGTTATGCATGAACTCATCGTTGCTTTTGATACTAAATCCCTGCAGTTTTTATTCATGATCCGCACGCGGAACATGTATTAAAAACGGCACTGTATAATGAATGCTCCAGATTTCGTAATTAAAGGGAGGGGGTCTGGACCCTCCAAGACAAGCCATTTCAGACCTCCCCCGTGGGAGAACCCTCCAAAACATCGTCCCCAGACCCCCCCAGGCCCTCCAAGGCAGCCTGGAAGAGACCCCCCCCCGAAATGAGACCCCCCTCCCTTTATTACGAAATTTGGAGTAATGAATACGATCCTACGGGACACCTTGCGGGGGACCGTGCGGGAGAGCCCATGCGGGAGACCATACGCCGGGAGACCATACCGGGAGACCATGCGGGCGACCATGCGGGCGGCCCTGCGGGAGACAGCGCGGGTGAACGTTCAGCCACGCGCGCAAGGGGGGGGCCCAGGACACATAAATAAATACACACAAATAAAAGGATTCCCAATATTTTTCCATATTTTCTGAATTTTCGTCTTCCCCCCCACTTCCCATATTTTCCCATAGTTTCCTGGGGATCGACAATTAAATGTGTCTGTGTGTTTTTTACCCTCCTGAACAAGGGGGTGGGGGGAGGGGGGGGGGCTTCTTAGAAGCAGGCTGCTTCTTAGAGGGCGGGGCCTTACATCTATGGACAGGCCCGCGCCTTCTAAGAAGCAGGGGTGCTTCGAAGAAGCCCCCCCCCTCCCCCCACCCCCTTGCGCGCGTGGCTGAAACGTGTAAGAGACCATGTAAGAGACCATTCGAATTTCGGTTTGTGGTTGATGTCGGATCGACCATGATCTCCCGAGCTGTGTATATAATTCGATCCCCCCACCTTCGGACACTCGGCATCCTCCGAGATCATTCGATCATCTGATCGTTCGGTCGACCTCTCTCTATCTCTCTACCGCTCCATCTCCCCATCTCTCCTTGTCGACCTCATTACCTGGAAACCAGTCGTACGACCTATCTACATACGCGACCACCACGGCACAACCACAGGCCAACCGCGGGCAACCGCGCGACAACCACGGGACAACCACGGGACAACCGCGGGCAACCGCGCGACAACCCACGGGACAACCACGGGACAACCACGGAACAACCGCGGGAAAGAATCGCGGGGACGGCCGGCGGGACCACCGCGGGACAACCACGGGACAACCCCCGGGCACGCCCCCGCCGCCCGGGGGCCCCAACATTGCATACGCTTCGGCGCTGGAAACATAGCGTGCTGCACCGACAGCCGAGAAGCTCGCCATCCCTGCGAGGCGATCCCCCTGCGAGAGAGCCCCCTTCTGCGCACGCCGTCCCCCTGCCGGGGCTTCTCTGGCGCAAGCTATCCCAAGGGCGAGGGATGGCGTGCAATACAGTCGGGGCGTTGACCTAAGGAACCCTAAACAAGGAACGAGGCCCCTATTTTCGATAAATTAAACTTCGATTTCACATCGAAAACCTAAGGAAAACCTAAGGCAAGCTGCGAAACTATCAAGGAACACGGAGCCCCTCCCCAACGAAAAGGGTTCCTTCTTCAGGGCCCCGACTGTAAGCGGGCCGGCGGCGCCGCATCGCACGCTACCCAGACCCCCGACGTCATGATTTTTGTCGCAACGTCGACCCCCAGAAGTCTCGACCCCTTCCCCAGACCGGCTTCTCATCCTAAATCGTTATCTGACGGTCCCGAGGTCCCGTGAAGGCCCCCGGAGGCTGAAACTAGCGAAAAACCTCCCGCCGTGAGCTTGTCACAACGCGAGGGGGTCTAGGTATCTTTCCAACGCCAACTGAATACCACATACGCTTAAGCATTACTGGGAGGCACAAAGACATACTAGTACTATATGTCCTCCTTGGAAGCGCGCGTCCGACCCGAACATATAGTACACTCATCTTGCAGTATATCGTTTCCCGAGCGGTGTGGCCAGAAGCGCCCACCACGACGCATATACTATATGATTTCTCGGTGCGCGCAGCGCCCCCGAGGGGCGACGCGCAGATAGCAGAAGTATGTTAAGTGAACATTCGAGGGTGCCCTCCTCCAGGAGGCACAAGAACATCCCACAAACACGAAGAACATCAGGGGACCCTCCCCGAACCGACCTCGATCTTGTCCCTCGGTCCGACCGTAGTGAAAGTCGTTCAGCATGCGTGGCAGGGTGCCTCGCATGAGGGTCGATAGAGGCATCCAAACTTGGAGTCCGAGCAAGCGGGGTCGGAGGATCGCGACGTTTCGTCGAGGCATCACCGATGCATCAGCGATACAGCCGCGACGTCGGCGATACGTCGGCGTCGTTGTGGCGTGAACACACCGCAGACCCATCATCATCGGCATACCTAGAAGAAACAAGACATGCATCATACATACTTCGTTTCCGCTCCGCACGGACTTCTTGGATCTGCGCTGGACACCCCTCCCCGGCGCGTGGAGCGCGCGCCAGGGGCGGCGCCGGAGTCGCCGCCGGGGGGGGGGCCCAGCACAGATGCAAGAAATCCGCGCGGGGCGTCGAAAATTCATGTTTATGCCGTGTTTTCTTCTTCGGAAAACAAAAAAAGCGAATGAGAATCAAGACTCAATGTATGCTCTGTATTTTGTGCTGCTCGCCCCCATGGTTGCGTATCGGGACTCTGCCCTAGGGCCTGCTCAACCACACGAGCAAACGGAGCAAAAATGCGATGGAATACAATGACAACAATGACGTGCCACCGCATGCCCCTACCTACCGCCCTGGCCGCCAGTCATCTTCTGCACTGTTTGAAATAAGTTCAGTCGCTTCTTCTTCGAATTGGGGCGTGAACGCAACGCAGACCCGACCCATCGGGGCACCGGCACACCCTGCAGACCCCTCGCCGGGCGCCGCCGTCTGGGGGCGGGGCGCGGGGACGTTCACGAAGCGGGTCACGCGCGTCGGGTGCTGCACCGCCCCGTGGAAGTCCTCGGCCGCTCGCAGGGGGGGGAGCAACTGTCGACAGGTGGGCCGCGCGACAGGAACGGCACGAAGGGGCGGGACAGGGCAACTCCTGCTCCTCCTCCTCCTCCTCCTCCTCCTCCTCCTCCTCCTCCTCCTCCTCCTCATCATCATCATCATCATCATCATCATCATCAGCATCATCATCATCATCATCATCATCATCATCATCATCATCATCATCATCATCATCATCATCATCATCATCATCATCATCATCATCATCATCATCATCATCATCATCCACCCCACCCCACCTCCCTCTTCCTCCTCCTCCTCCTCCACCTCCCCCTCTCCCTCCTCCCCCCCTCCTCCTCCGCCCCCTCTCCCTCCTCCTCCTCCTCCCCCTCCTCCTCCTCCCCCCCTCTCCCTCCTCCTCCCCCTCCCCCTCCCTTTCCCCATCCCCCTCCTCCCCCTCCTTACCCTCCTCCCCCCCCCCGCTCCCGCCCCCCCTCCTCCCCCTCCCCCTCCCCAGCCTCCTCCCCCTCCCCAGCCTCCTCCTCCCCCCCTCCTCCTCCTCCTCTTCTTTCTCCTTCTCCTCCTCCTCCTCCTTACCCTCCTCCTCCTTCTCCTTCTCCTTCTCCTCTTCCTCCTCTTCCTCTTCTTCCTCCTCCTCCTCCTCCTCCTCCTCCTCCTCCTCCTCCTCCCCGTGCCAAATGTACTTCTCGGGGGGCGCATCGCCAGGGGACGCACGGGGCGCCACTAAGGTTGTGGGACATCCACTTCCGATGAGCACCCCAAGCGAGCCGCCCGTGGAGTGAACAGAGGGACGACAATGGCATGGGAGCCTGCGTGCAGGCCCCCCCACTGCACCGCCGCTGGGTCTTCTTGAGACCCTCCGCGAGGTGCGAGCTGGGATGCACGTGCCTGTCGATGCACAGGCGGCGGCATCCATTTACAAGCTAATCATTGGCCTGCTTAGGTGGCCCCGAGTCGGTCACGCTGCCTCTGCAGGCGCGGCACCACGCGCCAACAAGGCGCGATTTCTGAGGAGGCAGCGTTCCGACCTCTGGACACATCCACAAGTTAACTGGTCGGGCAAGCGGGTGGCGTCAAGTTAGCTCCGGCTAGCGCGCCACTGGTTGTTTGTGACCCGCTTCAGTGGCCGTTCGACGGCCCCTCTGCCACTGCGAGCACGGCAGCCCTCGACTTCGTCGGTCTCACGTAGGCGCCGTGCCGACTTGGGTGCCCACCCCTGTCGATGAGCAGGAGCGGGCGCCCGTTGTTCGTGGCGTATTCTGGGATACCCAACCTTGTCGATGGACAGGCATGGGCATCACCTCCATCGTACCTGAGGGTTACTTGGTCTACGCACGCTATGGCCCGCTCCCAGGGCCGTCCAGCGGCCAAACAGCTGTTGCGGGTGCGCCAGCCTTCGCCATTGGCGATGTCAGGAAGGCGCCGTTTTGATCTGGACGCCCCCCCTGTCGATGGACCGAATTTAAACTCGGGCCTAACGCTAGGATGCCCATCCCTGTCGGTGGACAGGCATGGGCACCCTACCCTCGCAATGGGGGTTTGCTTGGCATACGAGAACTGTGACCCGCTACCATGGCCGTGGGACGGCCTTTCGCGGTTGCGGGTAAGGCAGCCTTACACATAGAAGGTGGCCAATCGGCGTCGTATTGGGTTGGGTTCCCATCCCTGTCAATGAGCAGACATGGGCATCCGCCCATCGAGCCTCGAATTAGGATGCCCATCCCTGTCGATGGACAGGCATGGGCATCCCACTCTCGCTACGAGGGTGCTGCTAGGCACATGAAAGCCACGGCTCTCGTAATGGCCGCAAAAAGGCCATGTTGCCATAGCGAGCGCGGCAGCCTCCGGCACCGAGGGTGTCAAATAGGCGCCGTTCCTGTCTGGATGCCCACCCCTGTCGATGGACAGGTGTTGGAATCCACGCATCGTGTCTCGAGCTAGGATGCCCATCCCTATCGATGGACAGGCATGGGCATCCCTTCCCCAAAATGGGAGCTTGCTTGGCGTACGAGAACTGTGCAAATCCCAGCGGTGCTCGGCTGGGCGTGGGTCGCAAGACGGTGCCTGCGCACTGTCTGTCATGGCTCTCGACCCCATCCCCAGAAGCTGAGGAGCCTTCCAACCCCTCCCTCCTCCCTAGCACCCTCTCAAGAGCCACTCAGGACTTGGCGTGGTCACAGGCGAGGGCGCAGCCCATGGCCGCCGAACGCAGCAGACTGGGGGAGGGACAGGCATAGCGGCGGGGTCATGGGCCCTGGTCGCAGATGGTGTGGAGCCCGATTGAGTAGGCGCGGACCTTGCCCGCGGGCGCTAGGTTGGGCTCCCCCCTTTCATCACCTACGGCACTGACGGTGCCAAATTGCCTAAAGCTAAGATGCCCATCCCTGTCGATGGACAGGTAGGGGCATCCCCCACCCAGAAATGGGGGGGTCCTTCCTTGGCATGTGAAAACTTGAACCCGATTAGGCGGCCGTGGGAAGGCCAGATTGTCGTTGCGGGCGCGGCAGTCACCACCCATGGAGCCCTGAAGAAGGGCCAACGAGGACCCGAGCGGGTCCTAAGAGGAACCCAAAAAGGCTTTGCGAAGCATGAGCAGGTTAGCCCATGCTCAGAGGAGGGGGGGGGAAATTACTTGAGTTTCGGTTCATTCTGAGGACCCGGACCCTCCTCGGTCTTTCCGACAATCCAGCTTGAACCAATAGGGGCCTTCAGGTTCTATCCGCCCTGACTGCACCATCCCATCGGGCGCTGCGTTCATGCTGGGCTGTCGCACTCGAGGGAGGGCAAGCTTTGTTGAACAAAGCCGGCGTTGTCTTGTGGGACGCCCTCCAGACAGATGTTCGCTTTGCCCCAGAGAGGTCCTGACCTTGAAGTGTACAAGGGTGGTACTACCAGGTTACTGGCTCCGCCCATGGGGTTAAGGCGCCCCGAAGCCATATCACTTCAAGTCCTTTTCCTCCTCCTCCTCGTCCTCCTCCTCGTCCTCCTCCTCCTCATCATCATCATCCTCCTCCTCCTGGAGCAACGTTGAGGGGACGGGAGGGCCACGGCGGGAGGGAGAAGCGGCCGGGAGGAAGGAGCAGAGCGGATATGCGAGGCAAGGGAGGGCGAGCAGGCCGAGCAGAAGGGGAAGAGGCAGGCAGGGGGGGGAAAGGAAGGAGAGCGACTGCAAGAGGGACTGCCCGAGGAGATCGAGGAGGCAAGCAGGGATGACACACAGGCAAGGAGAGAAGAGCCCTGAGACAACAAGCAAGGAAAGCAGCGCAGGCGGGGGGGAAAAGGGAAGAGAGCGACAAGAGCATGGACTGCTCGAGGAGATCGAGAAGGCAAGCAGGGAGGATGCGCAAGCGAGGAGAAAAGAACCCTGAAAGAACCAGGCGGGTAAAAGGCGAAAAGGCGCAGGAAGGAGGGGCCAAAGTACAGGAAGGACGGAGGGAACAGAGGGGCGGAAGACTCCAGTGAAGGTGCCCAGAGACACACACACATGAATGCACACAAATCCGCGGATTCCCCATCGTCTTCCATATATATATATATATATATATATATATATATATTATATATATGCATGGTCGGTCCCCCCCCCCCCCCCCCCCAGCGACCCCCCAGAGCGCCCAAAGCACGAATCCACAGAATCGCTTCGTTGAAGCCCTTCGTTTTTTTCACAACTCACCTTTGGCCTGCCATCCAGGCTGACGAACTCATCCGCTCGGCCCATCCGTCACGGGCACCGTGCGCGCAAGCATATCGGTTTCGGCCGAGGCCACGAAACGCTGTGTATTACATGTTTTCTGGTTTTTCTGGTCTGGGAATCAACGAAACACTGTGTATTACAGGTTTTTCTGGTTTTTTCAGGTTTCTGGAGCTGGAATGCTCGCCGCGGCCTCACCCCACCGCACCCCCCCCCCCCCCCCCTTGTTTGTCGGCGCATGAAAACCCAGAACCCCCCCCACAAAAAAAAAAAAAAAAAAAAAAAAAAAACTTACTTACACAGCGGTTCGTGGTCTCCGAGCAAGAAAACACTGTGCATGACAAGTTGTGTTTGGTTTTTCTGGTCTGGGAATCAACGAAACACTGCATGACAAGGTGTTTTTGTTTTTTTCTGGTTTCTAGAGCTGGAATGCTCGCCGCGGCGTCACCCCACCGCACCCCCCCCCCCCCGCTTTGTCGGCACCTGAAAACCAGAAAAACTAGAAGCACCTGCCATACACAGCGTTTCGTCGATACCAAGACCAGGCCCCCCCAAAAAAAACGTCATACACAGCGTTTCGTGGCCTCGGACGAAGAAAGCGCTGTGTATGACAGGTTTGTAAAGTTATCTCATCTGGGAATCAACGAAACGCCGCGCATGGGCCTCGGAGCAAGGAAACGCTGCGTGGCAGGCGTTGTGCTGCACTCTTCGGGGACTACAGCGCTCGCCGCTCACTGGCAGTGCTCCTTGAGGAAGGCCTCCTCCAGCGTCTTCCCTGTTGCCAGCCACAAATCCTCGCCCCTGTGCCAGTACAACCACTGGTATGAGCGGATCTTGTCAGTCAGCATCTTGGTGTTCACTGTCTTCTTAGTCCCTAGGTGTTTCCGCAGCTCCGTCCGCGTGCAGTACGATGTTGCGCTTGTGGGCCCATTTGTAGGCCAGAGGCTTCCAATCGCGCTTGCGGGTCGGGCCTGGGCCTGGCGCCCGCCTCTGTCTTCGCTGGGTCCAGCTTGAACAAGACTAGGGATTTCTGGTCTCCGCGCTGAACCATGCCGCCCCATTGCTCCCAGATGATAGGGTTGTCAGTCGCAGTGTCTGTGTTGGGGTCTTCTCCTTTGGCGATGTCCACTTCGTCGGCTTCTACGTCCGCCCAGGGCAAGCCGGCGCCGAACTTGATGTTCTTCTCGTGCTGGACCACGCTCTTGGCGCGCACCGCGTGCAAGGACTCGCAGATGCCCCCCGTGAACTGATGATTCTTCCGCGAGAGAAAACGCACGGAAGTCTGCGAGCATTTCGCAATTGAGCAGAAGAGCACAGAAGCTTGATCTGCCAAGCTCACGCGCGACTGCCCCGCACCGCACTTGAAGAGGGGGTGGAAAGCGTGCGGGGGCACGCGGCGCTTGCACTCGTTGCTGTTGCAGCGGTAGGCCCACCCTCCATTCGAATCGGCGTAGTGCTTCAGAGAGCCAAGAGTGCCTTTCCCGCAATAGGGGCACGCGACGCCCTTCCAAGCAGGGAGGATCTTGTCGTGCGTCAGCTTGTCGATGATAGTCTTCGCGGGCATGTGCACGAAATCCTTGAGGGACCTCGCCCACGTGGCCTGCGCATGGCAAATATTCTTGGTCGGGGCCCCGCGGCGCACGCACGGCACGTTCTTGGGCGCGCCGAGCTGGTCGGCAGCCGCTGGCATCTTCAAGACGGAGGGCGCCGCCGCTGGCCTCCTGGCGGTAACCTGAGATTGCGCGGCAGCGCGGGCCTTGCCCCTCTTGGCAGCAGGCAACGCCTTGCCCATCGCCACCAGCTCGCAGCTCGCGCGGGCCGCGCGACGCGTTCGGCAGCTGAACAGCGAACCTCTCGAGACGAAATCGCCGCGGACATGGTCGGCGGGCCTCTTGACATATGTGGAAGCCAAGACAACGGGATGATAAGACGATCGCTGGACTGAGAACAAGTTGCGCGAACCAGCATTTCCGCGGCCAGATGCAAATCACCTCACAAACAATGGAATGTTAATAATGCGAACGCGCATGATAGCATGCCCCTGCCGACGCCTCCCCTCGCAAGTTCACGAGCTCGACGCGGCGCCGCTTGCCACGCCGTCCGAGAACTGCGAGATCAAGCCGTCAAGCTTGGCCTTCTCTTGCCCCCGAGACTTATTTGCGCCCACGCGGACCTTCTTCGGTGACGGAGAACACAGATTGATGACTCCGCCGCCGCCGCTCAACTTGCGCTTCCACACGCCTGGCCCGCCTTCACTGGCTTGGTGGGGGGGGGGGGGGGCTGGCATCGCCTCTGGCGCGGCGCCCATGCCGCCGCCGAAGCCAAATGCGCCCTCCCCCTCCTCCTGGAACATTGAGCCCAAGCCATGCTCTTCCCCATCGGGATTGGGCGACGCAGCGGGCTGCGGCGAAACCGCGGCGGGCTCCGCGGCGGGCTCCTCGGCGGGCTCGGCCCCGCCCTGATTATACTGCGCTCTGGCCTCCCCCATGAGCTTCAACATGTCGCGCTTCTCGAAAGCCAAGAGGTTGTCGAAGTCCTCCTGGTTGCGCCGCGCGTTGTTCCGCAAGAAGTTCTGGAGGCACGTGCCCGCCTCAGGCGTGATGTAGCCGCCCTTGAGGGGCACCTTCTCCACGACGGCGATCGCGCCCGCTGGGCGGAAGTAAACGTTCTGCGTCGTGTTGAGCAGGATGTTGCAACGTTTGAGCATGGCGCCAATGTTGCTCAGGGAGAGGTTATTTGGGAACGCGGGCTTGACCATCACGACGTGGTAGGACGTAGTGCGGGCCTCCTTGTTCCTTGAAGTCGCGGCGAAGGCCCCATCAGTCGGCGTCGGCTCCGCGGCGGCATCATACTCGTTGTCGCTGCCGAAGCTCGCTTGGTTCCTTTTGAGTTTAGCCGCGCCCCAACGGACGCATACATTCGACTCGACCTGGGTTGGGTCGAAGAATGCCTTCAGCACGCGGGGCCTCTGGTCAGCCAGGCCCCCGTCGTCGAAGACGCAGGGGGGGCGCGCCCCTCCGACCTCCAGAGGGCTCTGGCGAAACAGGGTTGCGCTTCCGACCAAGGTGCGGAAGTGCAATGGTCATAATCCTCAAATCCCTCTGACCTCTCCCCTGAAGAAGTCCATCTCGGAAGCCACGCGCACTGCTAGGGCGGCAACCGCGCGGCCGCGCGCCTCGTTCGCGCAGTCTGCATGGTACCTGGCCAGCGCCATGGCCATAATATACATCAGAGGGGTCTCCCCGAATTTGGCCTCGCCAATCAGGAGGGCGGCGCTGCCGAGAAGCGCGCGGATGATCTTGTCAACGACGGGCTGGTACTCGGGCCGAATGCCCCCCTTCAACAAGGGGTAGTACGTCTCCTTGGCCGCGAAGTGGTCGCGGTCCTTGAGAATCTGGAGAACCTTGCAAACGAACTCCTTCTTCACGTGCTGGAGCGGGAAGTCTGGGTCGACGTATTCCTGCTCCACCCATAACAACTGCTCGCCGTCCCAATTCGCGCGCGGCGCCTCGTCTTTGACGCGCTGCATCCCGTCGGCAAACCCCCCCCCTCCTCTGCGCCACGTCGCCCTCCGAGAGGCACGCTCAGCGAACCTCGGCGTTCGAACCTCCAATAGCGGAACAATAACCCGCCGAGCCGCTCGATCATAAGTTGGAACGCGCGCAAACTGTTGAACACATCTGGCTTGCAATCGATCGTGCAAGGGTCGCCCTGGACGAGGTTCTCCTTGACCGCGCACATGGCGTGGCCCTTTCCGGGAAACGAAAAGTGCTTCACAATGACGCGTGGCCCTGGTTCTGAGGGATGCTTGCAAATCAAGATGTTCAGCGTGCAAGGCAGCTCGTCCTCAGTGTCATTGTAGCCGAGCGGGGGCGGCAAGACTTTGCGCCTGCCCACTGCCATGATCTTTTTTTTCACAGCATCCCACGCCACGGCGCCCAAGCCAATGGCGCCCGTGATCACGTCGACAACGCGCCGAGTGCATTGCCTCGGCTTGTACACCCACTGCTTGATGGCAGGCCGAACAACGACGTGGACCCGACGGGGTCGCGGCTCAAGTCGCCCTGGACGTCGGGCTTGCCGAGGACGACGGCCTTCTCCTTAGTCTTAGCATGGTTCCACACTTCCTCTCGAGTGATCGGCCTTCCCGAGCCACAGCTCCAAGTACTTCGCCCCCTGCGCCGGCACGTCGGGCGCCTCGGCAACTCCCTTGGGAGCCACGGGCGAAAGATATCGGAGGCCACGCGGCAGTCGCGCTGCCAGGTCTTGAGCCAACGTAGAGCTGCATTGTCAGGGCGCAGCGAAAAGACTGGTTGCCCGACTGTGACTTCTGAGACCACGACTACGACTACGACTACTAGGGGGGGGGGGGGGGAGATCGGGCAACGGCCGTCTGTCAAAGGAAATGGGCGAACCGCCAACGCGAACTCCGATCTTATCCCGCGGTGCTCAGCGCGCGCGCGCGCGCGCCCTTTCTTACCGCGTAGAAAATAATCGCCCAAGAGAAGCGCCATGCTGCCGCTCACCCTCTGCGCCTCGGAAGTAGCGGAACGCCGAAGCGCGCGGGCCGAATGGCGGGCCAACGCGCTGTCGGTTGGACAGCTCACCGCCGCCCACGTCGAAAACCACGTCGCGATGGCGGGGCAGCATGAGCGACGCCATCGCGACCCGCTCCATGAAGCCCCAAGTCGTCGTCCAAGAAACCTCCGCCACGTCGCCCCACCCAGGGAAATCAGGGGAAGTGAAAGCCACAGTGCAGGCGCGCCCCTCGGAGCCCGCCGCAGGTCGGAAACCCGCGTCGCTATCGAGCGGGCCACGATCCGCGACAGATCGTTCGAGCCGATCGCGGAGAGGGCTGTCGATCTCCAACCGCTTTCGGCAGACCGATCGGGCTGATCGCGGAGGAGAACAACGATCGCGGCACCGCGGCTAACGAGGCGCGCACGCGATAATCGCATCCAACGCAAAGGGCCACAACTTCCGTGCACATGCACTGACGGACGATGACGTCGCCGAACGCGAGATCGTTCGCCACCCACCGGTTGCCGCGAAAGCCAGGGGTCAGGAACGGGTCGCCGCTGTCCCCCACTTCAACGTTCACGGGCCACACGCACACGTTGAACCGATCCTGGGGCAAACGCAATTGCTTTTCAAACTAGATGCAAACGGGGCAATGCATTCCAAAACTCCATTCCCCGCCCCCCGCCCTTCGCCTGCTAGTCCTCGCCAGCAGCCAAGCGCTGAGCCTGCAAGCGCCCCGCCCTGCGCCGCGCCGCGTCGGGCGGAACGACGTCGCCAACGCGGCCAGGCATGGCGCGCGGCACAAACGCATATTCGAAAGCCACGCGATCAAACCTGCATCGGGGAACCTTACTGGGGGTCTGAACACCCTGGAAGGCCTGAACGCCAGTGGCAACAGGGAGCGGACGGGGCAGGAAGGCGAGCGGAGGCGGTGGCGACGACTACATGATTTAATATCCGCCGGCCCCCTTGTGGGGCCACCAGGCTGCGAGGCACGTGATTCGCAGTTTCCTGTGCCAGTCGTAGTTTGTAGTTTCCAGTGTTACAGTTCTGCTTATTGCTGGCTACTGTAACTAGTTGACTTCTTGCTGGTTACTGTAACTAATTGATTGACCGCGCGAGGGGGGGGGGGGGGGGCAAACAAGACTTTTAGCCTCACCTGGGCGCGTTGTCTGAATTGCTGGGGGGGCTCGAAATCAACACCACTCACGCAGATCCGCGGGGTCAGGGTCCAAAAACACATGGGATTTGCCACATTTCTCAAAATCTGGCGCCACCCCTCACGCAGATCCGCGCCAAAACACAAGGGATTTGCCACATTTCTGAAATTCGGTGCCACCCCTCACGCAGATCCGCGGGGTCAGGGTCCAAAAACACAAGGGATTTGCCACATTTCTGAAAATCCGGCGCCACCCCTCACGCAGATCCGCGGGGTCAGGGAAATTCGGTGCCACCCCTCATGCAGATCCGCGGGGTCAGGGTCCAAAAACACATGGGATTCGCCACATTTCTCAAAATCCGGTGCCGCCCCTCACGCAGATCCGCGGGGTCAGGGTCAAAAAACATAAGGAATTCGCCACATTTCTGAAATTCGGTGCCACCCCTCACGCAGATCCGCGGGGTCAGGGTCCAAAAACACATGGGATGTGCCACATTTCTCAAATTCGGTGCCACCCCTCACGCAGATCCGCGGGGTCAGGGTCCAAAAACACATGGGATTTGCCACATTTCTCAAAATCGGTGCCACCCCTCACGCAGATCCGCGGGGTCAGGGTCCAAAAACACATGGGATTTGCCACATTTCTGAAATTCTGCGCCACCCCTCACGCAGATCCGCGGGGTCAGGGTCCAAAAACACAAGGGATTTGCCACATTTCTGAAAATCCGGCGCCACCCCTCACGCAGATCCGCGGGGTCAGGGTCCAAAAACACAATGGATTTGCCACATTTCTGAAATTCGGCGCCACCCCTCACGCACATCCATCGCAAGGCGTGGTAACCCAAACTGCGAGTACTCCCTCGGCCCTTAAATCCCAAGGTGTGGTAACCAAGCTCGTAAACCATACACGTCTTACCAATCGCCCTGTGCGGTAGCCCCTCTTGTGATCAGTTGGTTTTGCCGATTGCGAATCGGCCTCGCATGAAGTTCCGACACTGCTGCACGACAGCGCCAAAGCCTCATGACTTAGCTCTTCCATGGCCCATTCTCCGAGAGAGGGGGCCGGCGGCAGGGGGCGAAGCCCTTGCGGATATGAAAAACTTAAGGTTAATGTCATTCGCGAAACCGCCAGACATGGGAACCCCAAAAATGGGTTCCCAAAGCGTCCTCTTCTGGTTACGGCCCAACGCGTTCTCTTTTGGTTTTGACGCAACGTGCGCTGGCAATCCCAGAGCGCGCGCCAGTGTCTGGCACAGCGCCCGCGCAAAGGCGAGCGACTCGTACGACGCCGTCGTCGTCGCTAGCTACAGTCTACCATATACATTTAGCTAAGTAGGCACGCGTCAGATGGGGGGATATTATTCAATATCCACGCCCACTGCTGTGGGCACGGCAACGACATGCGACGCTGTCTCGTTTATAATCGCACGTCGCCAAACCGCGTTTCAAACCAGCGCGCCAACGCCGGTCTTCTTTGTCGTGAGATGGGGGGATCCTGAATAAGATCCCCCTCGTTGGCCACTGCTGCGGCCACGGTGGTGAAGTTCGGTTTGGTTTCGCTCGGCGCTGACGCAATGCCGACGCACATGACAACAGGCGGACTATAATGCGTCAGCATTTGCTTTCGTTAGCGGGGCCGCGAGAACGCGCGCGCACCTCGCTGTGCGCCCATGCAACCATCCCGCAAGGATGAATTGCCCCTCGCGGTCCACTTTTTGGGGCCCAGGGCCAGCCAGGCCCAGCGCTTCTTGTCCTTGGGCGTCGCCCAGTGGTTGAAGCGCGCCTGCTTCGAGCGGAAGGTGGCGAGGGCAGTCTTGGCTAGGTCAAGCTCGGCCTGAAGTTCTCCCAGGAGCTGCGCCCGCTTGCCGTTCTCAGCAGTCAGCTTCTGCTTCGCGCCCCGCAAGCCTTTGAGCTCGCCCTCCAGCTCCAGCTCTCTCTTGCCCGTCGCCTCCAGTTTCTCCATGAGCACCTGGTGGGCGTGTTCTGTTTTGCACTACCACTACCATACAATGGAGGGAGAGGGGGCCCGCCTTCTCATTATCCTCGCCCTCCCCCTCCTCCTCCAACATATGGGTGGTGGTGGAAAACAAGCCCCTCAACACCCTGTTCTTCTCGTAGAGGCGGTCTAGGCACTTGTTGGAGCTTTTGGCTGCGTCGGCTAGCGCGTCGCAGAGGGCCCTGTGTGCCTTCCACTTGAACTGCGCCACCGTTTCTTTCAACGACTCCCTCACCCAAGGCTTGTTGAGGAAGTTTTTGACCGCTCTGACCCGCGCCCTGTTTCTGTTGGCAGTGCGCTTCCTGTCAAGCGCTTCCTCCGAAGAGGCAGGCATGATGACAAGCCAACTTGAGCCAAGAGGGGCTGATGACGAAGAGAAGTGAGAATGACGGGCGAAAACGAGCGGGGCAAAACAAGAGAGAGGGACAGAGAAATGACAGGGGGAGGAGGAGGAGGAGAATGGGGGGGCGAAGAGAAGCGCGACGAGGAGTAGGAGTAGGACGGCATACAAGGGGCGAGGGAAGAGAAGGGGAGATGAGGAAGAGGAGGAGGATGACGATGAGGAGGAGGAGGAGCAAAAGGAGGAGGAAGAGGAGAGGGGAGGAGAAGCGTGACGAGGAGCGAGAGGAGGGGGCATGCAGGGGGCGAAGGAAGAGAATGAACGAATAGAAGGAGAGTAAAAAGAGGTGGGCTTATCAGGCAACGTTCAATAAGAAACCCAGAGTCTCGCCACCAATAGGCGGCCTGGCTCTGCAAACGTGGAGGAGGATGAAGATCATAGGCGCTGGGGGGTCGCTGGGGGGGGACCGAGCATATATATATATATATATATATATATATGTTAAATATATAACATATACATGTATACATGTTATATATAGGGGGATTTCCGTCTTCCCCCCCCACTTCCCATAGTTTCCCACGTCTTCGGGGGAAACGACGATTCCTTGTGCCGATGTGTGTGTTTCCCCCCCCCCTCATCCAGAAAAACAACCTCGGCACAAACTCGGGAGCGGCCAAGAGGGGGGTGCCCAAGAGGGGGGGGTGCAAATCATGACCGGCGGCATGTGCGCGGCCCAGCGGGGAGGCCAGGGACGTAATGAAATAAGAAGAGGCGCCATGAGATCTGGGGAGATATCATGGCCCACGCCATGATATCCACCCCCCCCTAGTCGTCACCCCCCTCTTTTCCGCCCCCGACAAACTTTCGGAGGTCAGCGCGGCACTTCTTGGATCGGCGCCAGGCCCCCTGCCCCAAGAGCGCGCTCCGCGGGCACGAGGGGTGGCGCCAGAGCCGCCGCCAAGAGAGGGGGCCCAACGCGGCCACCTCGGACTCCTCCCCCTCCCCCTCCTCCTCCTCCTCCTCCGCCTCCTCCTCCTCCTCCTCCTCCTCCTCCTCCTCCTCCTCCTCCTCCTCCTCCTCCTCCTCCTCCTCCTCCTCCTCCTCCTCCTCCTCCTCCTCCTCCTCCTCCTCCTCCCCCTCTCTGCCCGCACCTGCGGGCAGAGAGGGGGCCCAACGTGGACCCAAGAGGTCCGAGCAGACGTCCGGAAGCTTACGGCAGGTTCGTGTCGTGCCGACTCCGGCGTCGGTTCCTGACACCGCGGGGATCGTTCAAACTCTGAACGATCGGCCAGCTCCGAAACGTCCGAGTCGTTCCACGTCGAACGATTCTGGGTCGCCTGCCGCGTTCAAAGCTGAACGCCGCTGGCGGGGTCGCCGCTGGTCGACACGACGCGAGCCTGCCGCAGTGGGGGCCAGTCCACAAGAAAGCTTCGACACGAAACCCAGCCCTGAGACCCCAGGACGTCCACTGATTTGGGCATGGGAACGTCGCGCTTCCCATAGCAAGACCATCGGAACCCAAGAAACCCAGGGCACCCTGGAGGTAAGCAGGGTGTTTCTTGGCATGGGTTTCCACTGTATGCTCAATGACCGATTTCTCTTCGTCGAGGAGTCGGCGATCGATATTGTGTCCAGGCTCCTGCTGCTGCCTTCCCCTGTGGGCGCCCAGGGCCAGGGCTTTTCTTGTTCCGGCGACCGAGGACAACGACGCAGAAAACGCGCTGGCGCTTCAGAACGAACACCGAAACGGGGCCGAACGTCTAAAGACGGACGGCGCGATGGAACGACAGCGAAACACGACACGAGAAACAGAACAGGGGCCAAAACCAAGCTAAGCAGCGTTGTGCTCGGCCCCTGTTTTTTATCACCGCAGCTGGAGAGTATAGCGGTGCCTCCACGAGCTCAGGGGGCCGCGAACGACGGCAGCGAAGCTGCCCCGCAGCAGGCAACCGAGGAGCGCATGGCCAGCCACGAGAGCTTCTCACCAAGGAGGAGCCATGCCCCCCAGCTCTGGCCCCTCGTGGAGTGGGGGCGCCAGCAGGGATTGAAGGGGCCCTGGGACACACAAATAAATGCACACAAATAAAAAGATTCCCCATATTTTCTCATATGTTCTGGGTTTTTGTCTTCCCCCCCACTTCCCATACTTTCCCATATATTCTTGGGAATCGACGATTAATTGTGTCTGTGTTTTTTGTCCCTCCTGAGGGAGGTGGGTCAAGCCTCGGTCCTCGGAGCCGTCGTGAGGCATGGAGTCGCTCTTGTGGCCACGCCGAGAACAGCCAAGGCTCAGGTCGGGCATGTCCCCCTACAGGCGGATTTGGGACGAAAAATTCAATACGCCAAGAATGTTCAAAAGAAAAGCCAAGGCTTAGGTCGGGCATGTCCCCCTACAGGCGGATTTTGGACGAAAAATTGAATACCCCAGGAATGTTCGAAAATACTCCCAAAAAATTGTCAAAAATGGTCCCCAGGCTATTTTTTTGACTTCTGGATATTCCTCCTGTAGAGGGACAGGCCCGACTCAAGCCTGGGCCCCCTGCGCCAGACCCCAAGACCGGCCCGAAAGCTGGAGCCCCTCCCGAGCTCGAGGCGGGACTTGCTGCCGCGCGATGCCGGCGTCAGGGGGGCCCAGGGACACACACGAAGGAGTGCGCGCACACAAATCCCAGGATCCCCCCATAGATTCTTCCAGATGCTTTGGACCTTCGTCTTCCCTCCCCCCCTATCGACTACACGCAAGAGTGACCCTTGGTGAGAGTGACCTTTGGTGCGCGGCTTCTTGGGGGCCGCGGGGGGCCAAACACAAGCGCGCGATCGCGGGACCCCGTTGGGCCCGCACCAAAGGTCACTCCGGCGAAAGGTCACTCTTACGTCTCTTCGACCCTGCCCATGCTTTCCCACATGCTCTTGGGATTGGGCGATGACACTGTGTCCGTGCGTCTTTGTCCCCTCCTTTGAGCACGAACCGACCATCCTGGCATTCCTAGAGGCCTACCACGACATGTTCGTAGAGCCCGGAATTGTTCTTAGAACAGAATCCCGATGATAGGTCCTAAAACGACTTAGCCAGAAAGGTTCTGAGAAAATTTCGTGCAGACCACAGAGGGTTCTCAGCACGTTCCTTGATCGCTTCCCGAGCGGTATGGCCCAGAGGCGCCCGCCACGGAGCATATTCTGTGAGGCTTCTCGCTGTGCGCATCGCCCCCTGGGGAGGCGACGAACTCGTAGTTAGAGTATGTTGGGGGGACGTCGACCTGACCAGGCAAGAGACCAGCGGCGGGCTGGGCGGGCCTCCACCAGATCGATCTCCTGGCTCGGCAAGACGTCGTCGACGCTCGAGAAGTCCAGGTCCTGCGGGCGGATTATCGTCATCCTCGTCCTCATTCGCTTCATCGCCCATATCCCTCATCATCGTGATCATAATCATCATCATCATCAGCAGCAGCAACATCCGCATAGTCATCATCACCGTCATTATCATCATCATCATCATCATCATCATCATCATCATCATCATCATCATCATCATCATCATCATCATCATCATCCTCATCAGCATCAGCATCAGCATCAGCATCAGCATCAGCATCACCAACATCATCATCAGCATAGTCATCATCAGCAGCATCACCATCATCAGCAGCATCATCGTCGCCATCGTCATCGTCATCATCGTCATCATCAGCATCATCAGCATCAGCATCATCATAGTCATGATCATCAGTAGCAGCATCATCATCAGCATTATCAGCATCAACATCATCAACATCATCATTATCATCATCGTCGTCATCATCGCCAGTATTATCGTCATCATCATCAGCATCATTATCATCATCATAATCATCATCATCGTCATCGTCATCATCATCACCACCATAACAATCATCAGCATCAGCATCATCATCACCGTCATCATCAGCACCATCAGCATCATCCTCATCCTCGTCGTCGTCATCATCAACAGCATCACCACCACCACCATAATCGTCATCATCATCGTCATCATCACCATCACCCGCACCAGCATCATCGTTAGCATCAGCAACAGCACCAACATCATCATCGAAATCATCATCGTCATCGTCATCATCATCGTCATCACCATCATCATCATCATCATCACCATCATCATCATCACCATCATCATCACCATCATCATCATCGTCATCACCATCATCATCACCATCATCAGCAGCATCATCACCATCAGCAGCGGCAGCATCATTACCATCCCTCTCCCTCTCGCTCCCCTGCCTCCTCCTTCCTCCACTGCCCACATTATCCTCCTCCTCCTCCTATTCCTCCTCCTCATATTCCTCCTCCTCCTCCTCCTCCTCATATTCCTCCTCCTCCACTGCCCACATTATCCTCCTCCTCCTCCTCATATTCCTCCCCTTCCACTGCCTCCGCGTCATCTTCCACACTCCACTTCCTCCTCCGCCTCCTCCTCGTCCTTCCCGGCAGGACAAGGAGGGCCAGGACGACGAGGGCGAAAGTGGCACGGCAGCGAGATGTGCAGTGCAAGTGACGGCCTGTCCTGCGCATATTGGTGGTCTCCAAACCAGGTGGTGAGACACCCGGTGGTGACCCCGATTCCCCACAGAAATAATTCTGGGTCACCACCGGGTTTGGGGACGCGCGGTCGCCACGAGGTTTTGCGTTTCCTGGGCCAGCCAGCGCTCGAAAACCATTACCCAAATCGCCCAAAACTCACCACCGGGTGTTCTCACCACCACGTTTGGGGACCACCAAGCATAGTTTGTCGGACCACGGAACGTGGATCACGGAACGTGGATCTACACGTCAGAGTCCCCCCATCGGCATGCTGATATGCAACGCCCACGATTCGTTCAACAGTGTTCAACAGTGTTCAACAGTGTTCAGCGCATGAGATGACAGCCCATACTGTTCAAACGGACGTGCAGCGTAACTGCTGGTCTGCCCTGTGCACAGCAAGCCGGACCACAAAACATAGATCTGGATGCCAGAGTCCCTCGGGAGCGGCCAAGAGGGGGGTGTCCAAGAGGGGGGGGTTGCAAATCATGACCGGCGGCGTGTGCGCGGCCCAGCGGGGGGGCCAGGGACAGAATGAAACAAGAAGAGGCGCCATGAGATCTGGGGAAACATCATGGCCCCCGCCATGACATCCACCCTCCCCTAGTCGTCACCCCCCTCTTTTCCGCCCCCGAGTCCCGATGGGCAGCCACCTGCGAGGACCGATGGCCGGGAGGCGTTTCTGGACCGGGCGCGGATGGAGGTGGCGGCAGCTGGTGACATGCTGGCGTTTTGGCCGTGCTCTCGTCGGATCCTCGGGCGGCACCCGGCCTGCCTGAGCGGAGGTCGGAGGGAGGAAGGAGGTCGGAGAGGCGGGAGGGGAGGGGGAGGAGGAGGAGGGAGAAGGATGAGGGACGAGGGAGAGACGAGTGGAGAGAAGGAAGGGTGGATGAAAACGGGAGATGGAAGACAGACGAAGGAGGATGGAAGACACAGAAAAATCGATTGGTCTGTGACGATCGGTTCCTGGTCGGGGCAAGATTGAGTGATCCAACTAGAACGCGGCTGTACCGACCCTACACCGTGGGATTTACGAGAATTCCCGATCGTGTCCGACGATTTTTTTTGTCGTGGGCGTGGCCACAGAATTCGGTCTGGTGTGCACTGGCATCCCCGAAACCCTGCACTGACCTGCGGGGATTAACCCACGGAGAGTCGGGCAGTCCCCGGGGAGACGCCCACTGCGAAGCGACTGAGATCGGCCCACACCCGGGATTACAGGCGTGGTGGACGCCTCGACCCCTAAGCGTCAAACCTCTCCCTGATTGTCAGGCCATGTTGCCTGACTTGGCGTGGAGTCAGAAGTTCACGCGAGGGGAAAGCGTCTCGCATCGTAGACAGCCGTACAGCCGCCAAGCCCTCTTCGCCACGGTGGCACAGTTTGTGTTCACGCGCGGCATTTGTCTCACGCCCGCGTGCCCAGAGTCAACCGCAGCAAGCTCGCGAAGCCGAGGACTCCGCGACAAGAGCGGCATTCAGAGTGCCCACGGCCCGCTCTTGGCGGGCGCAGGGGCACGGGCACGCGAGCTGCGACAAACGGGCGGGCGACGTGGAGGCGCAGGGGCAAGTGGGGGAGGAACAAGAGAAAGGTCCTCCTCCTCCTCCTCCTCCTCCTCCTCCTCCTCCTCCTCCTCCTCCTCGCATGGAATGGAATGGGACGAGGCGGCGGCGTCGAGAGGGGGTGCGCGCGCCAGGGACGCGCGGACGCGAAGGGGGCGATGCGATGGCACACCCGCACATCCCCTGGCGGGGCGGGCGTTCGGGCCCCCCACCGGCGATGCATGGTCGGGTGGAAGCCCGATGCCTCCCACCCCCTCCCTCCCTGAGCTTGGGTCGGGGTCCGATGCCCCTCCCCCCCTCTGAGCTTGCGTCGGGCATGTCCCCCTACACGCGGAATGTTGGGCCAAATGCAAGGGTAGCAGAAATTCGGCCGAAAAAAATCCGCCCCGGACTATGCTTGAGCTATCCTTGAGTAGTCCTCCTGCAGAGGGACAGGCCCAACTTGAGACTGGGGGCCCGATGCCCCCCCCCCCCCGGAGCCCCTCCCCACTCCTATAGGGCCTCTGCCCCCCCTGGAGCCTCTCCCCCTGGAGCCTCTCCCCCCCCTGGAGCCTCTCCGCCCCCCCCCCCCCCCCAGAGCCTCCCCCCCCCCTCCTGGACCCCCCCCCCCCGGGGCCCGATGCGCCCCCCCCCCCCCCTGGAGCCCCCCCCCCCCTTCGCGTGGCCCGAGCCAGCCGCGCAGCCCCGGCGCCGTAGCCAGCGCACCAAAACGTGTGTCAGAGGGCGGGGGCCCGCCCGAGAGCGCCGCACGAGAGCGCCGCCGCGACGGGAGGCGCACGGGACCTGCGCCAGCGGCAGAAAGGGGAGCTGCGCACACGGGAGGACCCAGAGATCCAACGCATTGAAAAAAGCAAGACGGACGTTTTTCGCTAATGTCGGCCCCTAGGAGCCCTCGCCGGGCCTCGGGAGCGTCAAAAAACGACTCGGGATGAAAAACCGGTGCTGGGGAATGGGTCGAGACTTCCGGGGACCGCGCATTGAAAAAATCACGACACCAGATCTCTGGGGAGGAGGGAGAGGAGGCGGCGAAGGAGCAGGACTGAGGATCAGCGGGAGGAAGAGGAGCATGGAGGAGGAGGAGGAGGAGGACGAGGAGGGACGGTAGCAGCAAGAGCTGGAGGCCGGCATCGGGGCGGAGCGAGCGCCGCGCGCCGGGCCCGTGCGGCGCTCTGCGGAAGTGGCCAGGCCAGGTCGGGCAGCCGTGCGCCGGGTGGCGCACCGGCAGGCGCCAACAGGATGGGCGAGCTCGCGTCCGAGGAGGGAGAGCACGCGTGGAGGGAGGGCGCGAGTCCGGCCATCGCTCGGGCGTCCATTCCCCGTGTTTGTCTTTTGGTCTCGTGCGTGGTTTTGTCGCCGAGTGATCAAGGATGCTCCTCGATGGTCCTCGCCGAAGGAAAGATGCACACGTCCGAGCGATGCCAAGGAGGAGGGGAAGCTGAACGCGAGAGGTGAGAAACTTGGGCGTCTGCCTCCGGCGCCGCTTGATTACGCCAGAAGCTCCGGGCCCAAATCGTTACGGCTTGCGCGACGCCTGGGCGACAACAAAGAGCGGGTCTTGCGCGAGGAAGCGTAGCGGGGCCGCAAGTCAAACAAAAAATGATGACAGCGGGAAAAACAGCTAGGTGCGCTCGCGCCATGTGCGACATCCGACGCCTCCCACCCAGCCCTTCCCCTTGCGCATAGTTTTGTTTCGATTTGACAGCGCGTGCCATGGCGGACCTGAAATTCCAAAAAGGACCCCTATCGTGCCATGTGCAGTCGGCAAAGGGGAGCTGCGTACATGGGAGGAGGAGGACGAGCAGGAGGAGGAGGAGGAGGAAAAGGAGGTGGCGAATGAGCAGGAGGATAATCAGGAGGAAGAGGAGGAGTATGAAGGAGGACGACGAGGAGGAACAGCAGCAGCAGGAGCTGGAGTGGGAGAAGTGGGAGGAGCAGGGTGACCAGGGGAAGGCGGGGGGAGGGAGCGAAGCGTGCCGACAACGACGAGGAATAACTCAGCTCCAGAAAAGTGGCCCGCGCTTGGGCGAGACCGCCAGTCTGAACGAGAGGAACAGAGCGCCGATCCTAACATGAACCGCGCGCTGCAGTGGCAGCACCGTTTTGAGAAACCGAAGACGTTCCGAGTAAAAGAAACATGAGCCAGATCAAATAATGATGACATGTGTGTAAGCATAAAAAAGGAAAAAAAGAAAAAACAAAAAAAAAAAAAAAAAAAAAAACGGAAAGGGGCGGACAACTCCACAGCCGTCTTCATGGGAGAAAGGAGATTATATATTCACATTGCAGAACTGTGGACGGCAAGGGATGAGGCGGGAGGAAAGTCGGAGGTAGCGTGCTCTCGCATCTCGCCGTACGCGCTTGGCCGATGGCCTCAGGGACTGCGGCCAGATGTTCTGAAGAAGAGAAAGCCCTGGGCAGCGGAGATGGCAACGAGGCAGGAACAGCGCCGAGGAACACCAGGCAAGGCGTAGTCCTCTCTGTTGGTGTACAGGGCAACCCTGATCCCAGATTCCACTTGTCCTCTCTTCCCCGAGCGCTCCGTGGCCCCCCGAGCATGCTTCCTCACTTGACCATGGGTAAACCACATCATGCCTGCCCGCCATGCGTTCTGTCTGGGAGGGACTGCGCATGCGAGGCGCCCTGAAATCCATCACCGTGCCTTCACCACGAAGTGGAGTACTCCGAGGCCCATTCAGATGTAGGCGTCAGAGGGAGTGTCAGATTCCTGAAGGTACAGACCATAAGCTTGCCAGAAGTTCAAGGCGGACTCTAACATCTCCCGATATACTTCCAAGCAATGCTCGAGGAGGCTCAAAGCTCTTGGTAGCCCTAAGGACCGCTATGTTGAAATCCTCTTGGGTCGTCTTGGAGGCACTGGGTGTGGGCCCGAGAGGGCAAACTCATTAAACGACTCAAGTACGCTTGTTGTGTGAATGTAGATGGTCTTGCGCGTGGCTGCCCTCAGAGCGCCCACGACGGCCCGAAAAGCCCCGAATACGCGCCCGATATAGCTCCAAGGCTCCCAAGAGGGATCCAGGGGGCTCCCAAGAGGCACACAAGAGGAAGCTCAAGAGGGGGACTGGAACTGCGATTCGGAGCCCTCCGACCCAACATGGCCCCTAGACGACGAGCGAAAACGGGCCAGGTCAAGATTTGGTTTAGGTCGGGCGTGTCCCTCTACAGGTGGATGTTTGGAATATGACTTAAACATACCCCAGACATACACAACTAGTCAAACACGGTGTTGAACAAAAAAACATCGTCCACTGACTATTTGTTTAACTATGTTTGGAGATTCCCCCTTGTAGAGGGACAAGCCCGATTTAACCCTAGACGACGAGCGAAAACGGGCCAGGCCAGGATTTGGTGGCCGCACGCGAGGGGGTAGCGCGAGAAGGACACGAGGCGCCCAGGACGACTCCCTCCGACAGCCCCCGAGAGGCACCACAGAGGTTTCCTGGAAGTCCAAAGAGGCATCCAAGAGGCCTCCTCCTCCTCCTCCTCCTCCTCGTCCTCCCCCTCCCTCTCCTGATCATCGCTGGCGCGGTGGCGGGATGTGGCGAAGGCCACTTGATTCGCCGCTCCAGATATGCGACGTCCTGATTTGTCCCAACCATCCTGTGGTGATGGGCCCTCGTTTTGAAGAGACAGCGCCCCGCGCCCCTCCCTCCCGCTTCCTCCTCCTCCTCCTCTTCATACTCTTCCTCCTCCTCCTCCTCCTCCTCCTCCTCCTCCTCCTCCTCCTCCTCCTCCTCCTCCTCCTCCTCCTCCTCCCTCCCCCCCTCCCGTGTCCAAGTCCTTGTTCTTGCCTTCATGATGTCTCTGTGTCGGTACACCCCTCGCACGTTTCGCGGCCCCACAAGGAGCCCCACCCAAAGTCCCAGTGGCGCAGTTCGCATGGCGCCGCCGCCCCATGTTGGCACACCCCTCACACGCTTCGTGGCCCCACAGGGGGCTCAACCGAACGTCCCACTAGCGCAGTTCGCATGGCGCCGCCGCCCCACTTTGGGCGCGCCCCTCACACGTTCCGTGGTCACACAAGGAGCTCCACCGAAAGTCCCAGTGGCGCAGTTCGCATGGCGTCGCCGTTCCATTTTGGCACACCACTCACACGCCGCGTGGCCCCCACAGGGAGATCCACCTAAGGTCGCAGTGGCGCAGTTCGCATGGCGCCGCCGCCCCATTTTGGCACACCCCTCACACGTTTCGTGGCCCCACAATGAGCTCCACCTAAGGTCCCAGTGGCGCAGTTCGCATGGCGCCGCCACCCCAGTTTGGTACACTCCTCACACGCTTCGTGGCCACATAGGGAGCTCCACCTGAGACCCCAATGGCGCAGTTCGCATGGCGACGCCGCCCCAGTTTGGCACACCCTTCACACGCTTCGTGACCCCCAAAGGAGCCCCACCGCAGGTCCAAATGGCGCAGTTCGATGGCGCCGCCGCCACATGTTGGCACACCCTTCGCACGTTTCGTGGCCCCACAGGGAGCCCCACCTAACGACCCAGTGGCGCAGTTCGCATGGCGCCGCCGCCCCATTTGGGGGCATCCCTCACACGTTTCGTGGCCCCACAGGGAGCTCCACCGAACGTCCCAGTGGCGCAGTTCGCATGGCGCCGCCGCCCCAGTTTGGCACACCCCTCACACGCTTCGTGACCCCAGAAGGAGCTCCACCGCAGGTCCCAATGGCGCAGTTCGATGGCGCCGCCGCCACATGTTGGCACACCCCTCGCACGTTTCGTGGCCCCACATGGAGCCCCACCTAACGACCCAGTTGCGCAGTTCGCATGGCGCCGCCGCCCGATTTGGGGGCATCCCTCACACGTTTCGTGGCCCCACAGGGAGCTCCACCAAACGTCCCACTGGCGCAAATCGCATGGCGCCGCCGCCCCAGTTTGGCACACCCCTCACACGTTTCGTGGCCCCGTAAGGAGCCCCACCTAAGGTCGCATTGGTGCAGTTCGCACGGCGCCGCCGCGCCATTTTGGCACACCCCTCACGCGCTGCGTGGCTAAGTTTGGCACACCCCTCACACGCTTCGTGGCCACAGAAGGAGCACCACCGAACGCCCCAATGGCACAGTTCGCATGGCGCCGCCGCCCCAGTTTGGCACACCCCTCACACGCTTCGTGACCCCGTAAGGAGCTCCACCGCAGGTCCCAATGGCGCAGTTCGCATGGCGCCGCCGCCCCATTTTGGCACACCCCTCGCACGTTTCGTGGCCCCACAATGAGCTCCACCGAACGTCCCGGCGGCGCAGTTCGCATGGCGCCGCCGCCCCATGTTGGCGCACCCCTCACACGCTTTTTGGCCCCATATGGAGCTTCACCGAACGTCCCAGTGGCGCTTTTCGCATGGCGCCGCCGCTCAATTTGGCACACCCCTCACACGTTTCGTGGCCCCGTAAGGAGCTCCACCTAACGTCCCAATGGCGCAGTTCGCATGGCGCCGCCGCCCCATTTTGGCACACCCCTCACACGCTTCGTGGCCCCAACAGGGAGACTTGACCTGAGGAGCGGCGCGCCAGAGCCTCGCCGTCTCTCGACGGTATGACTGTTTGGCCTCGCGCCGCGGGCGGCCCGCGCGCGTCGCTGGGACCCTCTCAGGGCGACCAGCGCGCGTCGCGGGAATTCCGCGCTGCGCTCTGCCCAGAGCCTCGCTCGCCCCCGTCGTCGCTTTGCCCAGCGGCCACAGCCTTGCCCGCTATCAGCCAGCCAGCTAGCTCTCTCTCTCTCTCTCTCTCTCTCTCTTTCTGCTCCGCGCAGCGGACGACCCGCGCGCGTCGCCGGGACCCTTCGAGGGCGACCAACGCGCGTCGCGGGGACTCCGTGCAGCGCCGCGCCCGCAGCCTTGGACATGGGCGCGCACGGGCAAAGAGGGAGAAAAAGAACGGGAAGGAAGCGGGCGCGATCCTCGTGAGGAGCGTGCCGACATGGGCGTCGCGGCGTGCGGGCGCTGCTGTCGGGGTTCCAGGGGAAGTTTCTTGCGGCGGCCACGCTCAGTGTAACGAGTACTCAGGGTCAGGCATACGTGAACCATTCACATTCGTATATGTATATAAACATATATATATATATATACACACACCAGGCGTGGCCATGCTCGAATTCATGCAACTATACACACTCGCACACAGACTCATTCACACTCAAACTCACTCGCGCTCAGACTCCCCCGCGCTCCGTTTCTCGTAATTAGACCTATCGTCTTCGCTCGTGTTGTGTACCCCGCCACGAAATTCGGCGCACCCCTCATACGGTTCATGGCCCCATAGGGAGCAGCGCAACCGAAAAAGATATTCACAATTCCGGTACTCACAACTGCAGATGGTTGGGTCCTTCGCCAGGCTAATTTCCATGCGCGATCCCTAGAAGTCTCGGCCCATTCCCTGGGACCGGTTTCTCCGAGCAAGTTTTCGACGGCCGCGAGGCCTCGCGAGGGCCCCCAGGGGCCGAAAACTACGAAAAACCGTCCGTCCTGATTTTTGTTTCACGTCGCGAGGGGGTCTGGGGCCCCCTGGCTTGCCACAGGGATGTACGGCGCGCAGGAAGTCCGAGGAGCTGTTGGCCCTTACTCGAAAGGTTTCCAGTGAATCGGGGATCTGCTGACCCGGGTCAATGCAGATCCGGGTCAACCGAGCTCGGCAGGATCCCGCAGGATCCTACACTGGATCCTGCGCCCTGTCCTGCAGGATCCTGCAGGACCCTGCGGGTCATGCAGGATCCGGCGCTCTTTGAGCAAGGACCGACCGTCCTGGCATTCCTATAGGCCTAACGACATGTTCTTAGAACCCATGTCCTAGGAACAAAAACAATGTTTTAGAACATATTACATATGCCCGGTGCGACAGATTCAGCCAGAAATGTTCTGATAACATTCCCTGCAGACCACAAAAGGTTCTTAGAACATTCTTTGGTAGGCCTATAGGCAAGCTAATATTAAGTCGGGCCTGTCCCCCTGCAGGGGGATTTCCAGCGAAAAATTCGCCGGCCCAACGGGCCAGAGGCGTGCTAAGATCTCCGGTAACTGGTTCACGATAGTTCTAGTTCGCGCGCGCGGGGCGGCCCCTGGGGGTCCCCGGACGAAAAGTACCCCGGCAAGGTCCCGGGAGGATCAACCAGAGCACTCCAGTGGAGGGCCATTTTCGACACCCTTCACGAGGATCGTGGCCTCCGAGGGGGGAGCCGCAATCGACTACCCCCCCTCCCGCCCTGAGAAGCCTCCAAGAGCCCCCCAAGAGGCCCTGGGGGCCCCAAGACGCCGCCAAGGAGCCCCAAGAGACTCCAAAGAGAGCCCCAAGAAGCAAAATTCTTCGTTATTCTTTTTAGGTTTTGGGGAGATTTGGGCGTTCCCATCTTTTCGGCATCGCGACGCCCCAAGACGGCCCAAGAGGCCTCCAAGATCGCCCTAAGACGCCCGAGAGGCCTCCGACAGGGCCCCAAGACGGCCCAAAAGGGTTCCAAGACGAGCCCTCGGCCCTAAGAAGCCCCCAGGAGGCGCCAGGAGGCGACTTTCAAGCCCCAGGAGGCCCCCAAAAGGCCTTCGGGATAGCCCCCAGACGCCCAACGAGGCTTTCAAGAGCACCCCCAAGAGGACCCCAAGAGGCACAATTCAATGTTTTTCTTTGGGTTTTGGGGGGATTCTGGCGTCTCTCCACCTTTTCGGCATCGCGACGCCCCAAGACGGCCCAAGAGGCCCCCAAGATCGCCCCACGAGGGCCGAGAGGCCTCCGACAGCGCCCCAAGACGGCCCAAAAGGGTTCCAACACGGCCCAAGAGGCCTCCAAGACGGCCCAAGAGGGCCCCAAGAACGCTCTAAGAAAAGCCCCAGAAGGGGGACACGAAACAACATGTCGAGCCCTCGGCCCTAAGAAGCCCCCAGGAGGCGCAAAGAGGCCCCTTTCAAGCCCCAGGAGGCCCCCAAAAAGCCCTCGAGATAGCCCCCAGACGCCCCACGAGGCTCTCAAGAGCACTCTCAAGAGGGCCCCAAGAGGCACAATTCACTGTTCTTCTTTAGGTTTTGGGGGGATTTTGGCGTTCCCACCTTTTCGGCATCGCGACGCCCCAAGACGGCCCAAGAGGCCTCCAAGATCGCCCTAAGAGGCCCGAGAGGCCTCCGACAGGGCCCCAAGACGGCCCAAAAGGGTTCCAACACGGCCCAAGAGGCCTCCAAGACGGCCCAAGAGGGCCCCAAGAACGCTCTAAGAGAAGCCCAAGAGGGGGGACACGAAACAACATATCGAGCCCTCGGCCCTAAGAAGCCCCCAGGAAGCGCCAAGAGGCCCCTTTCAAGTCCCAGGAGGCCCCCAAAAGGCCCTCACGAGGCCCCCAAGAAGCTCCCGACCGACTCTCAAGCGGCTCCCAGAAGCCCCAAGATGCTCCCAAATGCTCCCAAAAGAGCTCCAAGAAACCCCAAAGAGGCTCCAACAGAAGGACGTCCCGAAATCTTTTCAAGGCGGGGGCACGGATGAACGATCGGCTGCGCGTCCATGCGCTCAGCAGAGAGGCGCCATCAACCATAGAGAGAAAAATGAGACAAAGTAAATGCAGAGATGCGCACACGCATGCTTGAGAGGGTTCGGGGGGGCGGGGGACCAGAGAAGCTATGTGATGCAAGAAAGAGCGGAGCCAAAGGGGCGACATATTGAAAACCCCCTCTTGACTTCCTTCACGTGCAAGCACAAACCAGGACGTCCCGAGATCTTTTCAAGGCGGGGACACGGATGAACGATCGGCTGCGCGTCCATGCGCTCAGCAGAGAGGCACCATCAACCCAAGCCGTTCCCAAGAATGTTTACTGGGTGGGCGGGCAAGGGCGATTATATAAAGACGCGCGCCAATCGCTCAAGAGGACTTTGGCTAGCTTCCTATTGAGGGCCGGCGGATAAGCAGCGGCGATAGCCGTCCATTTCGCACCATTCGGGGCGTTGCCCTCAAGCACGATGTGATGACGGCCAGACTTGGAGCAAATTCCGTTAATCTGACAACACCTACGGTCGAGACAACTGCTGTCCAGAACACCAACGTTGAGACGCAGGAATCTGGTTCGTTTCCGCCAACGGGCCCCTTCTTGACACTGGTCGAGACATCTCACAATGGTCCCCCGACCTATAACCCCCTGAACCTCTCTCGTAAAAAACACGCGTGAATTCACTGGGTGCTCGAGTATACAAGGGACCCTAAACTTTTCACAACATCTGATGATGGCCAACGCGGCCCGCATGGTCTTGTTCCCAGACGCCAGGCGGGCCAGCTGCTTTTCACTCAGAAGATGCCGCGGGGGCCCCCAAGGCTGCGAGGCGGAACGGATGGCACCCGCTCGGTCGGCTGCGGTGGCCCAGGGCCCGCACGGCGGGGCAAGCATTACGGCCAGGACGCGGCTCGCAGCGATGTCCGAGCACAGGCCTCTCAAGACTGACCGCGTGGTGAGGTCGCCGCTTGGCCCGTGCAGCGCGTCCCAGAACCTGACCGGCACTCCCATCGCCATCGCGGCGCGCCCGACGCCCCCCTTGCCGCTGAAGCAGTCCGCCATGTAGCGGCCGGTCAGGCGGGGCCGAGCTCCCGCGAGTCGACCGGCGAGGCGCGACCCAAAATGATGTCCGCGAGCTGAGCCTCGTAGACCAGGAACACGCTTTGCGGGGCGCTGCTCAGCGTCGCCCGTGTGGTCGCCAGCCGGGCATGGTTCTCGAAGAGGGCGACGCTGCGGGTGGTCTTCCACTGGCCGCGCGTCTGCCCGTCGGCCAACCGCCGCCACCTCCTCGCCATGTCTAGTGAGGCCCCCGAGTGGCGCATCTGATGCGGCACCACCTTGGCCTTCACCTGCAGCCCCTGCAGGCGCAGGCTGAACCTCTGCCAGTACTCGGGGTACATGAAGTTCCACAGGCATTCGGGGCGCCCCTCCTTTTCCGGCCGGTGCAGCACGGGGTCCAAGAAGCGAATCCAGGGCAAGTCTAACTCCAGAGCCTCGTCGCCCAGGCCCGTCTTGCCCCGCCGGTCCTCCTCCTTCGGGAAGAGTCTCAAGGTCCAGAATTCGCACGCGCCCACAGCCGGCGGCACCAGGTAGGTCGGCTTCAGGAGCAGGAGGCTGCTGGGGCGGCCGCACACGCCCCCCGCTACCGAGGTGAACACCGCCATCTGGAGGCTGCCCCAAGCCTGCATGCGCCACGCCATCGCGCACCACATCGCCAGCGCCCACGGCTGCCTCGTCCGCGGCGGCCCCGGGCGCCGCCAGGCCCGGAGGCATCTCCAGGCCCGGGGGAGGCGCCGGGCGCCATAGCCTGAGAAGTCCGGGTTGAAGCGCAGCTCGCCCGCCATCAACTTCTCGGCCCAGGAGAGGTGGGCCCCGGCCTGGTACAAGCCGCTCAGGTAGGTCACCAGCGCCGGGTCTACCACGGGGTCGCCCCAGCCCTTCACGACCTTCTCGACGACCACCAAGGGCCAGCTTAGACGGGCAAAGTCCCGCCAGCCGTCCCAGGCCTGCTGGTACTCGCGCTGCGTCGGGGCCCGCACCGCCTCCCGCTCCAGGAGGGAGAGGCCCTCCTCGCTGGCTGGCATACCGTAGTGGCGGGCTCGGCGCGGCTGCGACTGCGCGAGCCTGCGCCGCCGCGCGGCGCCGGTCACGACCTCGGGCTCGGAGCTCCCGCTGTCGGAGGAGCCGACGCTCTCTGGCACTCCCCGCGCGGGCTCCGCCGGCACAGGCAGCCTCGCCAGGTCCCCAGGCTCCGTGGATGAGGACGGCCCAACACGGCCGCCCTCAAGTGCCTCGACTCGCTCAGCTGACGCTCCCGCCGAGCCACCAGCAACGGCGGTGGCTCTATCGGCGGAGCAGGGACTCGCTGCCGGCCGCGCCACGCCCCCTGGCTGCCCGCCGGCGCCTGCGGGCCGGGCTCCGGCCGAGACGGCGCCAGCTGGCGGGGGCGCCGGTGAGGGCTCCGAGAGCGGCGGCCACGCACGCCCGGTGCTCGGGGGCGCGCGGGCGGCATCGCGGGCTGCGGCGCTCCCGGGCGCGCGCTCGGGCGCGGGCCAAGCGGGGCCCCGCCCTGGGCCCACTCGTGAAAGCTCGAGCTCCAACAACTCAGCCAGAAGAGTGGACTTTGCGCCGTCGGGGTCAAACAGCCGCGAGGGGAGGTCGGCACAGTTGAGCTCGCTGGGTATCCATCGAATCGAACAGCGGATATTACGGCTCAGACAGACTGCGTGAAATCGACGAATCTGGATCAACAGGTTGAAACACGAACTTCTGCCTCGATTGAAGCTTAGCACGACCGACATATTATCACATAGCAGGAGCTGTCGCATGTGGGACCCGAAGACCGCGGTGGCGATACGATGGATGCTGCTGACCAGGGCCCGGGCCTCAAGGGTGAGGATCCCTTCGGGGTGCTGCCAGGCTCTAGCGAAACAGGGCCCCCACAGGCTTGCGCGGAGCCCCTGGGCGGGCACTTCTGGAAAGTCCCCCACAACGTCCCACTGGCTCAGCTCCTCCTCATCGTCGGGCAGGCCCCTGAGTCCCCACTTTCCACTCTCGCTCATACCGAAGCCGGCGGCACAGAGCGCGGCCTCCCGAGCGCTGCGCGCTCAGCGCCGGCGAAAGCGGGCCCGCTCAGGCACGCGCCCGACCGACTCCACCAGCTCCCGCGGCCAGAAGGCCCTCGCCAGTCCGTAGCCGTGGTGGCTGGCATCCGACTGCTGCGCCATCGGGTTCCAAGGCAGCCACCAGTCTGACTCTAAAAAGTACATCAGGGAGCTGAAGGCGGCCAGCCCTCGCCGCGCCTCGGCCCATAGCACGGCCGCGTCGTCGTAGCGCGCCCGCGCGAAGCCGTGCACTGAATCGAAAGCCGACAGGGTGCCGCGCGAGCAGAGGCCGCAGAAGGTCAGATGGCCCATCACGGCTTCCACTGCCCAGCCCTTGACTCGGCGGCGGGCAGGAAGGCCCCGCACGGCTTGGCGGCAGCGCCAGAACCGATCACCGGTCACCCGGGCGCGCAGCCGCCCGCCGTTGATCTCGGCACCGAGCGCCACCGCCATCCCCGACACCAGCTCGTCCTTGCGCAGCAGCAGGTTCAGCTCGGTGAACTCGCCGGTCAGCTGGTCCACCACGCCGCTCACGAGCTGGGAGAAGAGCGAGAACACCCCCAGGTCGTCGACGTAGACGCAGTGCCTGATCTCCGGGGGCGCCCGGCCAGGCGCGAACACGAGCGGCGGCCCGTGGTCCGAGAGACCAGGCTCCCTCAGGAGCGGGCTGCCGCGGCGGCTGACCTCCTCGTTGGCCCGCAGGGCAAAGTAGAGCGACCAGCTGAAGCCCATGGGCAGCCCCTGCCAGCACGGGTAGATCGCCGTCGACGCCTGCACCTCGGCCCCCTCGACCTCGGAAACGCCGAAGGCCCCCGCCTTGACAGGAGGCAGGCAGAAGCTTCGCGAGAGAGCTGCGTCGATCCGCACTCGGTGAAAACAATCCTTCATGTCCGCCATGCCGATGTACACCTGCTGCGCCTCCAGCGCGACGCGGAGGTCTTCGTAGTTCGAGAGCCCCTCCTCAGGCAGGTGCACTTCGATCCTGGCAAGGCCCTCGCTGCTTAAAAGCCCCACCCCAGGGGGGTCCCTGAAGCGGGCGTTCGCACGGCGGGCGTCGACTATGAGGCGGAGTCGCCGTCGCCCATCCTTCCACACAAAACATCCCGATTCTCTCCTTCGGTGATAGAGTCCACCCCAGCATGCCAGCCGACAGCAGCCGGCGCACCAGGCCGCGGTACTCTTTGCGGTTGAACTTGAGGACCGAGTCGAAATACGGCTCGATGTCGGTCGGCAAAGGTGCTGGTCGTAGCATGCGCTCTTGGCGCTCCTGCAGGAAGGCAAGGGCCTCGCCAGGCAACAGGTCCTCGAGACGTGGGCAGTCCCTCACGTCCGTCGGCATGCTGACAAGCCCTGCACTGTAGGAGGCGACCGTCGTCGGGCCGATGCGCCCGTCATAGGGCGAGCGGCCCCGCAGCAGCTCCCGGAGGGCCGCCTGCGGCTCGTGCAACTTGGCGTCCGGCTGCCGGCCCCGAACGAGGCCCTCGAAGCGCGCAAGTACATCTCGCTGCATGCCATTGGCAGGGCCTGGCTGCGAATCGTAACCCGACATCCAGTTGATGGCGTCGACGATCCCGTTAACCTCGCTCAAGATCCGAGCCCCCCGCCCGAAATGCCTGGCCCGGCAAGACCTGCTGCGAATTCGGCGGCCTGCGTCACCCAACAGCGGGAGCGGCAGGAAACTGCGGGCTCCGCGCGAGGGCGGCAGGCGGCCACCGTCGTGCCCCGGCAAAAAGGGCCCGGGGGAGGGGCTGGAGCCCCCGGGCCCTGGGGCCGCCATGGCCCCGCGGAGGCGACGCCCCTGGCCCGGACGCGTCCGCGGCCGCCTCGGCCGCCACCACGCCCCGCACCAGCCGCGTCACCTCCAGCTCCTTCTGCTCCCTCGACTGCCTCAGGAGGCGCCCCGCGCGGCGTCCGCGCCCAGTTCTGCACCTGCTCCATCTCGTGCCGCCCCTTCACCCGCCGGTGGACGTAGCCCCTGAGCTTGGGCCCCGAGACGTCCTCCTCCGAGCTCGCGCCCTCGACGAAACGCGCAATCGTCCCGCTCGGCTTGAACGGGCCCGCGTAGGCATCCACCACCGCCACCACGCGGCGCGTCATCACCTCCACCATCATCAGGCCGCCCATGTCCAGCTGGTCGTAGACCCCGCATTGACACAGGGCCTCCACGATGGTCTCGCAATCTCCCTGGCCGAGCCTTTTCGCGCGGACGACGACGTCGAGCCAGAGCCGAGGGTCGCCCCCACGCCTCTCCACGTGCTTGCTCATGTGGAGAGCCCCGGGCGGCCCGTCCACCTTCACGTCGGGGTGGCACACCTGACACGACTCGCCCACGACGACTGTCCATCGCCTGAACCACTCTCCCTGCTCGTCGTAGTCGACCCAGAGAGTACGAGCGTTATTCAAAACGCCGAACGGCACGACCCCGTCCTCGAAGCTCACGCCGTCTGTGTTCGCCACGTCCACCTCCGTCCCGATCGCGATGCCCGGCCCACCGCTGAGGGCGATCCAGGCCTGTCCTGCCCTTGGGGCCTCCAGCCGTCGCCCGCCCATCTGGCCCATGGCCGAGCCAAGGCGCAGCGAGCGGGCACGCCTCCCGGCCGACAGCCTGCCTGCGGCCTCCTGCCAGATGACCTGTTGGCCGTCAGCGGCCGAGGCCTCCCTCGGCTCGGGCAGGGTGGCGTCCCGCTCGAGCGCCGTCTCACGACCGCGCTGCCGCGCGTCGCCCAGCTCGTCGGGCCCCAGTCGCTCCCGCAAGCGGTACAGCCTCCTCATCCTGCGAGCACGCAGCGCCAAGGGGAGGGCCCGCGAGGGCCTGCTCTCTGGGTCGCTGCAGCTCAGGTCCTCAGCGTAGATGTCCACGCCCGGGGTCAGGACAAACCACTGTCCGCTCCCCGGGTAGTGCGTCAGCACCAGCTCGTGGTCAACGTCCTCGTCGGCGAGGCGGCAGACCACGCGCTCGCCTGGGAGCGCCTTAGTCCACCACTCCCGCCCCGCGTCGCCGCGGAGCCACGCCACGAGTGCCGCCATGACGGCGGCCGACGATTTTTGCCACCAGCCAGTGCACCAGGCCGCCCAGCAACGCCCCCACTAGCCTCTCCACAGCCTTCTCCCCGGCCGTCGGCTCAGGGCACGCCCGAGCCTCGCAGGCCGGGCAGGCCGCGCACGGCGGCGGCTCGCACGCCGGGCACGCCGCGAACGGCGGCGGCTCGCAGGCTGGGCAGGCGGCGCAGACCGCCAGCTCCGGGCAGGCCGCGCACGCCGCCGCCTCCGGGCACGCCGGGCAGGCAGGGCACGAGAGGTCTGGGCAGCTCGGCCGCCCCCGGCCCCAGCCCGGCGCGAAAAACGCCGCGCCTCCAGAGCCAGCACTGCCCAGGCCGGCAACGCGGCCGCCCCGCCAGGGATGGCGACCGCGGCCATCAGCCTCGGGACCAGAGAAGCAATGTGATGCAAGAAAGAGCGGAGCCAAAGGGGCGACAGATTGAAAACCCCCTCTTGACTTCCTTCACGTGCAAGCACAAACCATCCCACGAGGCCCCCAAGAAACCCCCAACGAGGACCCCCAAAGGCCCCCAAAAGCCCAAACGCCAGCGAGGGCACAATCCTGGCCGGCGGAATGATTGAAGCGATTAAATTAACAATGCCCCAAGAATACACAAAAAATCCCAAATTCTCCGACGGAAGGACCCCACATGATAGTCTGTTTTGCGTGCCCTTCTCCTTTTCGTCCTGGCCATGGCAAACACCCTCCTCTCGCCCTCTCCTTTGCCCTCTCTTTCCCCTCCTTCTTCTATTTCTCCCTTCCCCCTCCGTCTACCTCCCCCTCCTCCTTCTCCACCTCCTCCTTATCATCGCCCTCCCCCATACCCTCCCCCTCCTCATCTTCCTCCTGCCGCTTCTCTACGTGCACCTCCCCCTCCCCCTGGGCGGGGCAAGCAAGTCGATGTTCCTCGGCGCCGTCGCCGCCTCGGCCAGCACTGGACTGGCGCGTTTTCTGATGGCCGCGTCGCGCAGCCGCCGGGGCAACCCCGCGGGCCAAGCTGTCGGGGCCACCCCGCGAGCCGCTGGCGCGCAAGACCAAACCGTTGGGACAACCCCGCGGGCTTCGAGCGGGGCGCAGCCACGCTCAGGCGGGAGGCGGCACGAAGCCCAGCTTTGCCGCGAACTGCTCCGCCTCCGCCCTGGACAAAACCGCTCTCTTGTCGAACTCCAGCAGCGCCTTCCGCAAGGACGCCGGCGGCCCTCGCTCCAGGAACTCCCGCGGCGGCGGCCGCAGGATCAGCATGTTCCGCACGCACGTGGCGCGGGAGAACACGACGTAGAGGCGCAGCCACCACTGCTCGTCCGACACGCCCGTGCGGCCAGCGTCCTCGTTTCAGAGTAAAGCGCCCAGGGGTGCGTTCCAGTGGATACGTGCCAGGAAGAGCGCTCTGGGAACACGACGAACACGAAGTGGCCTACAGTTGGCTCCGGGCATTCAAAATGTGGCCTGGGAATTGTGTTCTGGGAACACGAATTCACTCGCAATTCACTCACAGACGATGCTCCCGCCTGAGACCTCCTCCATATTCAGGCCTGAAGATCCTAAAAATTGACGACAGTTACAGGAATCCGACGAACCGCTCGGATTAGTAACATGAACCGCGGGCCCCATAAGGAGGGGGCTACCGCCTGAGATAATCCGCGGGCCCCACAGGGAGGGGGCTCCCGCCTGAGACTTCCTCATAATTCACTCAGAGACGAGGCCCCCGCCTGAGACTTCCTCCAGATTCAGG